AAAGTAAATCATGCAGTCGGGAAAACGTCTTACTTCGAAAGATTATTTTGCAAAACATTCTCGTACTCACAAGAATCATAAAAATACAAATTTTGAATTGTTATTGTCAACTGTCAAGTTCAGTTATTTTTGGACAATATGGTGTTAGCCAATCAGAATGCAAAATTGACCGGCCCAGACCAGGGCTTTCTCGTGCCTCGCCTCGTTCTCATACGAAAGCCTTGGGAACGAGGTTGGCAAAGGTTTTTCCTATTTTTAAATCCGGTCACTGCGACTCAAATAATTATAGATAGTGAGACGGATATGTGTAAAATTATTGGTCAGTAGTTCCCGTTGAGGTTAAAAGCATCAAACTTTTACAATTGATGTCGTTTTATTTACTTAAATTTGAAGTGGGGCCATCGCTATTTTGCTGCTAACTCCTGAAAACGGGTGATTAGTGATTATCTTCTATTAAATTCTATTATAGCCAAAAAATGTGAATTTTTGTATACAATTACAACAAATATGACTTGCATCATCAGAAAGCTTATAAAAAACTGCATATAAGACGTTTATACAGTTTTTTTATTTCTGAAATAGTTTTCGAATTATAAACTGTTAAAAACGCATTTTCAAACATCGAATAATTAATTAGGGACTTTTAGCGAGATAATGTGCCTAATTTACAGCAATAACCATTTGAAGAATAAAAAAACTGTTTAAAAGTCTTTTATGTAGTTTTTTACAAGCTTTCTGATGATGCAAGTTATATTTGTTGCGATTGAATTCAAAATTTCACATTTTTTGTTGTAGTAGAATTTAATAGAAAATAATGCTCATAGCATCGTACCTCTCTAAAAAAACAGTTTCCCACTTTTGCATGTTGTTCTACTCATAAAAAGATGCTACTGTGCAAAATTTGGTGCTTTTAACCCTCTTCGGAAACATCCATGCACATATCCACCACACTATTGGTCTATAATCAGATTTATGCATATCTAATGAAATTTGATCTAATTAATTCAAGGCAATTCGGTTTTAGGTCACTGCATTCAACTGTAACTGCATGACTGGATTTAACTAACCAGTGGTGTTATAATATTGATAGGAGTATGATCAACGGTGTCTTATTTTTAGATTTAAAAAAGGCTTTTGACACTGTTGATCATGATATATCATTAACCAAATTAAGTTTTCTTGGAATCTGTGATAAAATATTACATTGGTTTAAATCATATTTACTGATAGAACTCAACAATGTTATGTTAATGGTTATTTATCTGGTAAAGTGAAGGTCAAAAGTGGAGTTCCTCAAGGTTCAGTTCTAGGTCCTTTATTATTTCTTACTTATATAAATGATTTGATGACTTCTGTTAATCATGGTACTGCCCAAATGTATGCATGCAGATGATACTAACGTATCATTCTCAGCATTTGTTTTTTCTGAACTTCAACGGCAGATGAAAAACTAAGACCTGGATTGGCTGGAAAATTTAGAATCCTGGCTTATAGCCAACAAACTTACTTTAAATACAGTAAAAACTGAATATATGGTTGTTGGTTCAAAACAAAGAATAAATTCACTTGTGGGTGATCTGACACTTTCCCTTAACGATATATCTCTACGTAAAGTTTCACAATCACAATAACAACTACCGGTATATTCCGGAACTTTCCGACAGGGTTCAGTTCGGACTCGCGCGTCCAACATTGTTTGTGGGGTGGGGGGAGAGGGCAACGACTTAGTTGTCTCAATAATATTTGCACGAGGTTGTAGTGTCGAGACCGGACGGTGAAGTCGCCCCTATTATGCCTTGACTTTTTTCCACCATTCTTTGGGTTTAGTTTGTTTAAGGTGGCTAACCATACAAGCGTAGTAGTTGATGCGACATCTTTTCCTCATTTTATTTACTTTATTGAAAAACTACTACCAATTAAAAACAACATCTGCAATATCAAATTTTATATGAATTAATAATAATATACTAGTTTGTGATCATAACATTTTATTTACTGTAGCACTATATGTAAATACTTTATCATATTGCACCTCACTTGAAGCACTGTCCCCTAGTTTTGTTTGTAAATAGGATCCTTATTGCTGCCGCAGCGAGCGAGCCTGAAGCGAGCGAGCAAGGCAGCAGATCCTAATTTTGTTTTGTGGGTCGAAATCAAAATTTTCTATTTGGCGCATTGCATGACGGTACCAGTGAATTTTAACCGTGGTGCAGCGCGGTCAGGCATAAGGCAAACAGGCAATGTGATCATGTTTCATCTTTGGTCTTCTTTTATGGAAAGCCATAGCTGGCTTAAAGTGATCAAACGGCATTTTGTTGGGTGCTTTTAGCATTATACGGCGGTGCTTTTGGCATTATACACGGTGCTTTCGCCATTATACGCGGTGGTTCCAGTATTATACGCGGTGCTTTCACCATTTATATACGCGATGCTTTTGCAATTATACGCAGTGGTTCGAGCACTATATGCGGTGCTTTTAATATTATACGCGATGCTAGCTTTCATTCAACATTATTTCCATATTCTTTCCATGACATGTATATGATTTAACGATTGCTTAAATTTGGTATGTGCATGGTTGACAAATGCTTTTTGCCTATGGTCTGCAAGGACAATGACATGCTTTTCTGTGTATATACATGTAAATTAATATAACGCAGCGAATGCGCCAAACAGTATAAACGCGGCTGAAATACGATATTAAAATCTTAAATGTGCCGTATTATTTATGTTTTAGGATTTACAAATGCTTTAATTGTCATTTGTATTTATACTTGTATTGCATCACAAGGCAGTACGTACTGTAAGTGAAAAAACTCCACATCATGAGATTGTCTTGTATATATTTTTGCTTTCTTTGATAAACACTATTAAACACGCAAATTTTAATTAGTGAGACGCAATGTTAAATGTCACCTGCATGTCATTGTCATTGCCCTTTAACCCTGGTCTAATTGGCCGCTTTTGAAAATATTGATCATGACGAACCGCACTACCTTAATTAAATGCAAACTTTGTGTTTTAAAAACGGGTTAGGATAAAACGCGGATACGGACGGACGGATGAATGACGGACGGATGACATATATATGTCGTTATATAGTCTGCGCGCAGCCGCGCAGGGTAGTTAGTGCCTTACGTCTTCGCTGGTTGTTATACTTTAAAATAATTTTGTATGTACCGAGAAATCAATATTCCGAGTATATAAATATATAAACTGGGATGTCACACTGATAGCTTGTTTACATTTCCTGGAGCATCATGAAATCTTATGTTTAACCACGGTGGTTTAACCCATTAGCTGGCAATGCGCCCTTCCCTTGTCGAGCGCCAGAAGATTTTACTCGTCAGTGGTATAGGGTACTGCCAGTAAATGGGTTAACAAACCTATCTGCTAATGGCTCTTGTTAATTCATCAGCACAGTAATGACCCCTACTTTAGTATTTACCCTGTCCAACGCCAGACGATTTTTAATACTCAGTCAGTGGTAGGGTACTGTCAATAAATGGGTTAACAAGGATAACAATAATTAGCCTGCATGACAGGTGGTATTTCCCAGGCTTGCCCAATTTTAGGAACCGCCTGCCATGCAGGCTAAACAATAATAGGAAGGACTCGTTCAACACCTTATCTGAAGGACTCGTTCAACACCCTGTAGTTTGTCTTTTGCTGTCAAAGGCAGCATTACTGCCCTGTGGGTAACCTAGTTTTGTAATTTAAAATGTAACTTGGGGTCTTAATCAAAAGCCTTTTGATGGTTTCTAGTAGGCCCCTAGCCCTAGATAATAAACATGTAAATATAGTAATCAAAATTTGTGTAATTAAATTGGGCGAATTAAATTTTAAAAAAAAACGAAAAACTTTACTACGACAGCGGCACAGTTGGAGGTTTGCTTGTATATGATAGACCTTTTGTTACGATATATCGATATACCTTTTGTTACTAAATAATTTGACACCGTATTGCCCGTGCTGTGGGAATGCAATATCCGAATTCACATTACACAGGGGAAACTCGTCTTAGATGGGAAACTCGTCTAATATATTATATACACATTCGGCTACAGACGAGGTTTCCGTCTCAACCTTTCCGTCTAACTTTCCCGTCCAAACAGACAGGAAAGTTGGACGGGAATCTCGTCTTAAAAAATCGCAGTCAGACAGATAAATAAGACGGACGAAGCGTAGCCAAGCCGAAGAGAAAACTGTAAGAGAAAAGTAGAATTGTTGATCAAGATAAGGCATATAAAACCTACATAAAACCTACATAAAATTTTAGACGGTTTCCGTCCCCGTTAACATGATTCGGTTAATCAGCAGCCAATCAAATTGCGCGATTCACCAAAACAATTGAAACGGCTTGGCATATGATAATAATATTAAAAGAAAAATATTCCTCTTCCACCCACGTCGACAGGCCTAGACTCGTCTGTATATAAATGTTTTTGGAGATATAGCATATCAAATAATAGGAGATCAATGTCATTATTTAGTTTAATTAAACATCCGGTCACAATACTGTCTCTGCTACTCAGTGATTGGTGAATGTCTACACTTAATAACTAATATTTTATCAGAGATTTATTTAACAGGCAGTTAGCTATAAACAACTTGGGCAGCGATGTTGGAATGGTTTAGAAGACTTAGGTCTTAAGAAAATGAGCAACAGGAGACATGCTTTATCACTGCACTGGATCTCAAGCTTGTTTGATCAGCAATGGTTCGGGCAGTCTCAAATTCATATATTGATAATATAAATAGCCTGTGCAACAGCCTGAAATTCGCGCTAATTTCAGGCTGTGCACTGGCTACAATATAAATCCAGTATTGCTTTTTAACGTAACAGCACGGTATTTCAAAGTTCTACTTCAACAACAGCTTCAAAATATATGACTTTCACTTAGCGATCCATGCTTATGCAAAATTCAAATTAAGCATGGAATGTAGACACCCCACAGAGCATGTTCAATATAAACAGCTGCGTATAAAATTCATGAGATCACAATAGTTTGACAGTCTAACTAACACGGAAGCAAATACCTGCCGTCACTCAAACCAATTCTTATATTCGTCTTACTTAGATGTCCTGTCATTATTGCAGTCATGATGACTTGGCTCCTTGGTTTCGTATTTTTCGCTTGTGAGAGACTCATTGTTGTTAATAGTCAAGGTATTGTACATGACATGCTTGATATATTCTCTTGATTACGAGACGTTCAGCTCAAATTTATTATTATGTACTAATTTTACGCTGCTTAAATTAACCAATTTCCTATAGGGAAGAAACTATTAGTATCAATTATATAGAGATGTTACAATGCATGTACCAGCTATTAAGGTTGAATGCCATTCTAGAATCAGGACTAGAAAATTTTTAATATCATATTATATATCTATATTAGTGTCATAATAATAATCCAACTTTCTATTTTCAACATCCTGTTTTAAACCACCGCGCAAATGATAGATCAATCAACGCGGAGTTGTCCCAACGACTATATACTGCCTTACTGGTATTATTGGTGGCTCAATGTATGTTGATAGGGCATTCGATCACTGTATAGTTGTGGATTTGTACAATCAATATGGTATGCTGTTATTCTATCACCCTATATTGACCCAACGTTCTGAGAAAACCATTTATGACATCATTAACATGCTGATATACTATCCGTAGACCATAAACTAGATTATATATATATACCTACATGTCCCAATGCAATAATTCTACTGTATTCTGTAATATATTAATTTTAGCGAGATTGACTATTGGTTATAACAGGAACGCCGAGCCGCTTAAATATACGAATTCATGATATATGAATATAGGACTTACAAAATGATAGTGGCTCGGTTGTGGTGCTATTAGCCGGACAATAGTTTGGAGTAATGTTATACTTATATACTAGTGGTGGTTGTTATAAAGTCTGGGGGTACCATCACTACCATGCAGGGACTGCTCTTCAAGTAGATCTGCTGCTATTCCTCAATTGCAGTGGACATGAATGCATGCATGAGCGGAAGCCGATATGTAACTTGAACATAATCCGAATTTTTTACTGACAACTAAGAAAATATCTTACCGATGTAAATGTCAAACGATGAAACATCAATTTAACCATTTTAAAAAAATACCGCCGGCAAATATAGCTTGAGTGTTAACTAAGTAACATCCAAAGACCTGATCATTAAGCATGGTAAATGTTATTCAATACTCTGACAACAAGCACGAAAAGTGCAATGGGAACGCTCTCCATCGTAAATCTTGGCTGAGTGCACAAGGATTAGGACAATTAAGTCCGTTAGTGGAGTTTCGAAGGAGAACCTTTTTTGAAATAGCTGTATATAAATATGCTAATAATATAAATTTGCGTCAAATTTTCCAAATTTGGAGGCCTGCATGACCTAACGTCAGAGTACATTAGTCATTACGCTGTACAGAGTGTATCATAAAAAAGTAGACAATCAGTTTGAATTAGAAACGGCTCTCGATTTCACAAATCCGTTCATGTCATGAAATTTTTGATAAATATAGATTGTTTGGGTACTTATAATGTAGAATACAAATTTTTTCAACAAAAAGTTTCGTAAAGATAAATTTTTAATGTTGCTATAAAACACAACTCCTCCTGCTCTCCCCCTCCTGCTCTCCCCCTCCTAACCTTTATGAATTTTTTGTTTATTCTGCATTGTATATATAAGTACCCAAACAATCCATAATCCATATTTATCAAAAATTTCATGACATGAACGGATTTGTGAAATTGAGAGCCATTCCAAAATTGTATACTTTTTTCTGTTACACCCTGTAATGCCAGTTTTCTTCAGCAATTCCGCTGGCTTGCCAGGCCCAAGGGCCGAGTCTAAAATGCGACAGAATCTAGATCAAAATTGCGTTATAATAGTTTTCAATTATTGCCGTAAATCCCCTATTAATTTGAATTTGTAAGATTTTAGTGATGCATGACATTACGTTATTTTATAGTTTGGCCACAGGGTACGTACGGTCTACCTAAACCAGTGTCAGGATGTCCTGCCAACTGGCAAGATGGATGGATAAAACAGGACTTAGAAAACTCAAACCCAAGAAGCGAGTTTTCTGTTGATCTGAACTTACATATAGAAGCAAATTTAACAGGAGGTGATATAAGAAGAAGTTTTTGCATTAAAACGTCCACTGACACTACAAAATCGTGGCCTGCAGGTAAATACAATGTACCATTTAATATGAGTTTGATTTTTCCTATACTATAGTAGTAATAAGGGTTTAATTTAAAATACATCATCTAAAACAATATTGACACTGCTTTCTGGACCTGTATTTCTTAATTATTTTGCACACTGTCCATTGTCTATGCATTGCAGTAATGCAGCAATATTATCCATTGCAGCAATATTATCCATTGTGAATGGCGTTCGGTGTCACTTGATTTGATGCATGCATAACACTTATCTTTTCCATTGTTATTGGAACAACTTTTTGACAGGATTGAGAAATACGCAATCAATAAACAAGATAGTTCTCTATACTTTTGTTTTCTAATTAACAACTATTAGTATTTTTACACAAGTGAACATATTAACAAATCCTATACGTTAATTGGTCAAATTTGACGTAATAAGCTGTTATATTCACCTATAGGTGAATATAATAAAACAGAAATTTTCAAAATGGCGGCTACCCGTTTTGTGACAAAGTTTTACTGACAAAGAAATAAGCGAAATTAAAATAAATTCAGTCTCAAAAAACACAAAAGCTTGTGTAAAAATACTAAAACAATTATTCGCCTCAGGCTCGGTGATTATCGGGGAATATTCACCTCGACTTCGTCTCGGCGAATATTCCCCTATAGTCACCTCGCCTTCGGCGAATAATTGTTAATTGTTGGTTTGTCATGCAATAATAAGTAATATAAAGCACATATTAACTTATAAGCGTAATGCTCCAAATTTTCCCGATTTTTTCTGGAGGATTGTAATAAAATAACTTGAATCAGTCAGCACATTTTGTGATAAATTTGCCAAATGTCAGTATAGCCAAGGTGACCTGCTTTCCGGAAGAGTGTATTGCCCCTCTCGCCTCACTGTCCCATGCACCTATGATGAAGCAATGAGTAGTCGATCTGAATCCCTCTTACAAGGCGAGCAGTAGTAAATCAGATACAGATCGGATGCGCGTGCTTTACACGTAAAATACAAAACATTTGATAAATTAACATTTTGAAAATATTTTTTATGCTCCCATTAATTAATTTTTTTTGTCTTTTTAGTAACGACCAGAAGGCTTTTTTTATAACAAATTTAACAATATTGTAACAACGTTTCGGAGTTTACCCCATCATCAAGTTACATTTATACGCACTAAAAAACCCCGTTAAAGCATGCGACCGTTATTATCTCGCGTGTATGCGCTTGCGTAAACATATAATTGACGTGTCCGAGAATTTAAATAGATCTTATTTTTAGTTATAAAATTTAGTTATAAATTAGAGAATTTAGTTATAAAAAAGCCTTCTGGTCGTTACTAAAAAGAAAATTATTACATTTAAATGAGGCTTAGAGAAAGTTCGCTTCTAATCACATTAATTAAAAGGTGCGTGGAAAAATAAGCCGCGCGGGGGAGGTGGGGGGAATCATGGTATATCAATTCTGATCGATTATAATTCATTACGGAAAATTCAAAAGAGATTATATTTAAAAATATGACCTCTTTTGAATTTTCTTAATTAATTATTATTGATGAATATTTATGTAGGCATACCATGATTTCCCTTTTGAGCCTCCCCTCCTCCGCCCCCCCCCCCCTTCCCCCGCGCGGCTTATTTTTCCACGCACCTTTTAATTAACGGGAGCATTATGTTGTTAAAACAAACTGGTGTATAAATATTGGTGGCTTAATAGCGACGGGGGGGGGGGGGTGCTTAGTAGGGAGGAGACCTTAATAAATTTAATTGTTCATTGCTGCCGAGCGCAGCGAGGCAGCACACTATTCTTGACACGCGGTGGTTTCTCCAGAGTCCACTCGACCCAGTCTTTCGCGCGATCTATGTATTGTCGAGATCTCGATTTGTGTCTGTCCTTCTGTCTGTAAAGATGATTTCCGGGAGGAATAATTAAAAGCTTCAGGAAGTTTTTTAAACGAGGGGGCGGTCAAACTTTATTTTGTATTGCGCACGCATCTCCATGTGCTCAAGATTTTTCAAGCTTTTAAATACTTATGCAAGAGATCGAATATATTCGGGAAAATTTAGGTAAGTATGGCTCTATTTCTTTCTTCTGAAATACATCAAGGCGATGACCTTTTTAGTGTTCAATCTAGAGGCAAACAATGTGCTTTTATGAGTTTATCTGCAGTTTTAACTGCCCAAAATATCCCACTGATCGATTGGTCAAAAAAAACATTGAATAATGTCTTACTACAAGGAGACAATATGTACTTGCAAGCTCTGGATAATGGCTTTGTAGTCTTAGAACCTGGTGTCGAATTTTTATCTGTAGATAACTTACCTAAAGTTGTAAGTGTTTCAAGTTGTACGAACATGTTTTCTTACCAGATACGCGATTCTGTGATCCATACAAGTAATTTACCATCTGTAGTGCATGCGAAAACAACTACAACACCTGTGGATCCCTTTGATACACAAAATAACGTTGAACTACCCATGGTGTTACGACAGAACAATAACAGTCCACCCGTGGTGGTAGGACAAAATAATAACAGTCTACCTGTGGAGGTGGACAAAATAATAACAGTCTACCTGTGGAGGGACAAAATAATAACAGTCTACCTGTGGAGGTACGACAAAATAACAACAGTCTACCCGTGGTGGTACGACAAAATAATAACAGTCTACCCGTGGTGGTAGGACAAAATAATAACAGTCTACCTGTGGAGGTACGACAAAATAATAACAGTCTACCCGTGGTGGTACGACAAAATAATAACAGTCTACCCATGGTGGTAGAGCCCGTTGAGGCACAAAATAACATTGATCTGCCCATTGTGGTAGAGCCCGTTGAGGCACAAAATAACATTGATCTGCCCATTGTGGTAGAGCCCATTGAGGCAAAAACTATTAATCTGCCCATTGTGGTAGAGCCCATTGAGGCAAAAACTATTCATCTGCCCATTGTGGTAGAGCCCATTGAGGCAAAAACTATTCATCTGCCCATTGTGGTAGAGCCCATTGAGGCAAAAACTATTCATCTGCCCATTGTGGTAGAGCCCATTGAGGCAAAAGATATTGATCTGCCCATTGTGGTAGAGCCCATTGAGCCAAAAGGTATAATTATTGGTCTGCCCATTGTGGCAAAAAGTAACACTGATCTATCCATTGGGGTAGAGCACAATTCTGTGGTGCCTAATGAGGCAAAAAATGAATTTAACCAAATTTGGCTTATAAATTATGGAAAAGAGCTTCAAGGTCTTGTTATAACCAACCGAGAAATTGAGTCGCACTACTATGACATTCACACTGCACTTTTGAATGTGTTTTCAAATTATAGTTGTACTATTTTGATATTAGAAGGCTATATGATGGCATTGATAAAGCAAATAGATTTTTTCTATTTATTTGACTCCCATGCCAGAGATTCTAGTGGCATGCCTGATCCTAATGGCACTGCTGTGGTCATGAAATTTGCTAATATTCTAGAGTTGGAACAATATTTGTATTCTCTTTCAATGTCGTTACATGCCAATTTATTTGAAATTGTACCTGTGAGATTAAATATATGTAAAAGTAACTGTGTAAAAGATCGACAAGCTAGACTTAAGAAAGCTAGCGAGTATAAAAAAAGAAAGCAGTCAGAGGAAACTGACATTGAACGGCAAATAAGACTTCAAAAATTAAGTGAGTCTATTAAACAGAAACGCTCAGAGGAAACTGACAGCGAACGACAAATTAGACTTCAAAAGGATAGTGAGTCCAAAAAAAGAAAGCTGTCAGAGGAAACTGACACCAACAGACAAATTAGGCTTCAAAAGGATAGTGAGTCTAAAAAAAGAAAACAGTCAGAGGAAACTGACACGAACAGACAAATTAGACTTCAAAAGTATAGTGAGTCTAAAAAAAGAAAGCGGTCAGAGGAAACTGACACCAACAGACAAATGAGGCTCGAGAAAGATAGACTTAGTAAAAAACAAAAGCGGGCAAAAAAAGTGTCGCAACAGGATTATTTAAATATGTTTGACAACACCAATAATGGCGGTATTGAAGAGCAATGTTGGGCTAAGGCTAACATTAATAAGTTTAATAAGTCTGTGCAATACATTGTCAGTCAGTGTACAGTATGTCAGGAAGCATGGCCCTTAAAATCCAAACCAAAGACACCTTATGTGTGTTCACGATGCTTTAGAGATAAAAAATCTCCACAAAAATTTTCTTGTGAAAATTCAATGATACCTTCATGTGTTCCACATGAACTGCAAAATTTAACTCAGATTGAGGAAATGTTGATTGCTCGTGCTTTGCCCATCATGAGAGTTTATATTAAACCTGGTGGTCAACGAGGTTATTCAGGGCATTGTATTAACCTGCCACAAAATGTCAAAGAACTTGCAATGTCTTTACCAAGATATCCTAAAGATTTAGCTGTTATTATTGTCAAGGCCAAAGGTAGAGAAAACACATTCAGAGATGTGACAGTGCGAAAGCAAAAAGTGCACAATGCTTTAGTTTGGCTTATCAATAATAATCCACATTATTCCGAGTTATTAATTAATGAAGATGCATTAAATTCCTTACCTGAAAATGGTGTACCACCAGGTCTTATGACTGTTGAGACTGATGATGATATAGTCTCAGATGACAATTGTTCTCCTGATGTAGGTCCTCCTACTGATAATCCATCAGAGGATATTGTTTATAATGACTCTACTGAAATGAGTAGTTTTTTACCTGTTGGCGAACAACAACAACAGGAAATTGAAGCTGTTAGAAATCAGCTGTCTGAAAATGAGCCAATGCCATGGCCCTCAGCTGAAAATGAGCCATTAAATGAGTATCAGGTATCACATCTGGCCACAATGGCTTTCCCAACTTTATTTCCAGATGGGAAAGGTGATCCTACTAATCAAGGACTTCTGAGAGATGTTCCTCTTCAGGAACGAATAAAGCATCTTCTAAAATTTGCTGAAATTATTGATGGTAAATGGGTATACCGTTTTGCTAACCACCCCAGATTTTCGTATTGGGCTTTTAATATGATTCAAAGAAAACGAATTTTACAACAAAGTGGAATATTCCTCAAACAGAACCCAGGTGAAGCTCATCTCACAATTGATGAACTGCGTGAACTGGCTGCCAGTAACAATGCTAGTGTATTTATGTCTAAAGTGTCGAGATATGTTGGCAATATTGCAGGTACTAATGCTTACTGGAACAGAGTAAGAGAGGAGCTCAAAGCTATCATAACTAGTGTTGGAGCACCAACATTATTTTTCACTTTTTCCTCTGCAGATATGCATTGGCCTGAGTTACATGCTTTATTTAAAGCTGATACTGACAATGAGTTTGGGAACTCTGCCAGTGATGTAAGACGACAGAATGTGATCAACAATCCCCATGTTGTAGATTGGTTTTTCACACAAAGATTAGAAAGTTTTGTAAAACACTGGCTTTATGATACACTTGGTGCAAAATGGCACTGGTTTCGATATGAATATCAAGGTAGAGGTAGTATCCATTGTCATGGTACTGCTAAACTAAATAATGACCCAGGTTTATGTCAACTTACTCAGACTGCTTTAAAAGGTTTCTTAGCTCAAAAATTTAAAGATGAAAATGATTGTTCTGACACAACTGAACTAGACCAGGATATTGAAGCTGGTTGGAAAGCAGCTGACACAGTATGTCAGTATGTTGATTGGTTACTATCAACCGTCAATCCTAATCCACCAGATGAGGACATGTGGATAAGACCTGAGGTTCATCCATGTCAAAGAAGTTCTGACATTCCTGAGCATGAAAAACAAACAGATTATGTGGATCTATTAAACATGGTTCAACGACACACTCGTTGTAGTACAAGTTATTGTCTTAGAAAGAAGTCAAATGAAACAGAGTTGAAATGTAGATTTCACTTCCCTTTTGATATTTGTCCTAAGACAAAATTAGAATTTGAAAAAATTCACACTTCAGGTGATAATGAGCATTATCGAGCTAAAATTGTGACGAAACGAAACGACTCAAGGTTAAATAACCATCAACAACTTCAGCTCCAGGGATGGAGAGCTAACTGTGATATTCAAGTTGTTATTGATCACTATGCTTGTGTTGAATATCTCACAAAATA